AAAAGCCTTTTATATAGAGCTATATAGGAATCTAGTGGCTAAACCATGGAATTGCAAGTTGTTGACAAGTGTGACTCCCAAATGAACAATACCAGAGGGTTAAAGAGAAATATTATGCACTGCCTCATTTCATGTCAAAATAAAATACTTGAGGAAAAGTTTCTCTCACTAAATGACATGCAGGTTCCATTTTTAGCCGGTTTGAGGCGAGCAGCGAGCAGTCCCCCTGGAGCTCTGAGCATCCCGTCCCCCTCTGCCTGCCCTAGCCATTTAACTGCAATCACTACTACATTCAGCCTGAGACACAAATGCCTAATTTTCCCACTAACCCTTCAATCTGTTGTCAATTGTGGGATGCCATGGAAACAGTTCCGGAATGCTGCAAGTAGGCTTTTAGTTCTGAGGTACCGTTTTGTGTCTGGAGCAATTCAGAGCTGTGCCATTTGTGTAATACCAAAAAAAAAATTGGCATTTTCCCATAGCAGTCTATGACATCATAGCAGTCTAAGGAGAAAACTGTAGCCACACCCACCCATTGTAGAAACAAAAGTCTACTTTGTAATTAGACTAAAAAAAATGTAGATACAATTTGTTTGTAGAGGTAAGAAGTGCCAAGACCAGTCAATAGAAAATCTAGGACTCAATCCATATGAAGTAAACTGTGCATATGTACACTATACACAAGCAGTATATAAAAAAGGAGTTACTGTAGCTACCACTCAATAAAAGCAAATTTACAATTTTTGGGGATAACCCAAAAGCATATGTCTTTCAAACTGGAGAATGTTTATTATATTCTATGCACACTTTCTGTCAAACCTGGAAATGCTACAGTCTTTTGTCTCATGAGGGGCGTCCTACATTTTAAGTGTCCTCAGCAGGGGATGCGGTATTTTGAAATCACATTCTCTCGGCCTACCGAGGGTAGTTCTGTCCAAACGTTACGCTCAAGAGCAACTCTGAGAGCACTGAGAAAGTGTGAGAAAATGTCCCGTCCCCCTCTGCCTGCCCTAACCATTTAACTGCAATCACTACTACATTCAGCCTGAGACACAAATACCTCATTTTCCCACTAACCCTTCAATCTGTTGTCAATTGTGGGATGCCATGGAAACAGTTCCGGAATGCTGCAAGTAGGCTTTTAGTTCTGAGGTACCGTTTTGTGTCTGGAGCAATTCAGAGCTGTGCCATTTGTGTAATACCAAAAAAAAAATAGCATTTTCCCATAGCAGTCTATGACATCATAGCAGTCTAAGGAGAAAACTGTAGCCACACCCACCCATTGTAGAAACAAAAGTCTACTTTGTAATTAGACTAAAAAAAATGTAGATACAATTTGTTTGTAGAGGTAAGAAGTGCCAAGACCAGTCAATAGAAAATCTAGGACTCAATCCATATGAAGTAAACTGTGCATATGTACACTATACACAAGCAGTATATAAAAAAGGAGTTACTGTAGCTACCACTCAATAAAAGCAAATTTACAATTTTTGGGGATAACCCAAAAGCATATGTCTTTCAAACTGGAGAATGTTTATTATATTCTATGCACACTTTCTGTCAAACCTGGAAATGCTACAGTCTTTTGTCTCATGAGGGGCGTCCTACATTTTAAGTGTCCTCAGCAGGGGATGCGGTATTTTGAAATCACATTCTCTCGGCCTACCGAGGGTAGTTCTGTCCAAACGTTACGCTCAAGAGCAACTCTGAGAGCACTGAGAAAATGTGCGTAGGCAAATAGTAAACATAATATTTCAAAGTAGCAGCTTCTGTCATAGTTAAATATAGTTCAACAATATTATGCCCACTATATGCAAAGGCACATATACAGAACGCAATGGACTGTATGTGATTTTGACTCGTTTAAAAAAATAAAATAAACTCATGCAAAGAAAATTCTTAAACTGTTCCAAATTTGAATAGTTAGTGAGGCGAGGGACATGTTCCTTTAAAAGGATAGTTCACTCATGAAAATGAAAATTGACATGATTTACTCACCTTCGTGTTATTCCAAAGCTGTGTGACTGACTTTCTTTTGTGAAACAAATTAAAAATATTTAGATTTTTTTTTTAAATGTCTCTTTTGAAATATCTTTAGTATTTCACAGAAGAAAGTAAGTCACACAGGTTTGGAATAACACGAAGACAAAAAGCTCCAAATATCAGTGTTAAACCTTATATGTGCATTAATATAAGGGAAAAGGCATTTGGATCGATGAGAATGAATCTGAAAGGTATATATAGAAAGGAAGAAGAGCATAGAGTGATATCTGAAAGATAGCAGAATGCCTGAAATTTGCTATGGTTCATGCCGTCCAGCCTTCGAACAGCTCAAATGATGCACAGCCCAACGGGAATTGTCCCGACTCTCCTGATTAGCCGCTCAGACCTTGGCAGTTGGCGTGACTGATCTTCATGTTGAGCAAAGTGTGGATCCATGCAATCACAAGTGCCCGAACAGAAGAAGCCTGAATTCCTTTAAAAAATTAAATACCCTTTCACCTTCATCCTTCTCCTCTGATATCCAGTCATCCATTCGTTCATTCCCTAGAGTCTAGTGAAAGCTTGGGAGAGTAAGAGCTGCTAGAGAGTGACAGAGAGGAAGGGAAAAATAAAACACTGGTATACTAGCATTAACTGCTGACGGTTTGTTAGTAACTCCTCCTGAACCACTGACACAGCACATTTACAACAGTTAATAAAGTTATTTGTCACTCCTAATTGACAGCAAAAGACAACAGAGACCAGTGATTCTAACTAAGAGTAAAATGAAGAGATATGTACAGACAGGAACTGCTGATTCTGCAGCACATTCACTGGCCTCTTGGGTGCTTTAACAAGTTTGCCCTATTAGATAAAAAAAAATACATCTGCACATATTTCTGAACACACTGGGCCTCATTTATCAATCTAACGTAGAAACGAGCGCAGATCTGTGCGCACAAATCAACTTACGACAGAGTTCACGTGTGATTCATGAAACGTTCGTATGCCGCCAATCTCATCGTACGAATGATCGCACGCTGATAAATGTGGCTGCAGAAAACAATCGTCATTTGCATATCACGCCACTAAAAACACCCTGGTTTAGAACCCTCGCCCCTAGAGTTTACGACACGGAGAAACGAAACCCGGCCAGAAAGAGGAAGTAATTTCATGATAGAGAAATTGATCTTACTCCAAAAACACCCGTTAACCTTGTAATTGCAAACAATTAGGCTACATTAATTGATGTAATTTAGGTATATTAAAATACTGGTAAATATAAACAGCCTATTAAGTTCCCCTCACTCTACAACAAATATTTTAAATTTAACGGTATTCATAACAGAACAAGAATGAAAAATATGTAGTTATAAAATTATATATTCAACTATAAAATAAAACACAAATTAGGTTATAGTGGCATTCATTATAAGCAGCATACAAACATCAAGCAAAACTGAAATGGCATTGGGCTCACGAGCCTGTCTCGTAGGCCTACCACAAGAATCCAAATGTTGCATTTTTGCCATATTTGTAACATTTGTTTGCATAACTATTATTCATTATGTAGCCTAAACATGGCTTTATACTTCACTCATGTTCTAATATCCGTGTAAAATCCTTCACATGCACAAAAATGTTTGTTTGGGTGCTTTACAGCAGACCTTTTGAAATAAACAGTGTAACTTTTATGTTCGGTTGACTGCATTTTAGTTTGATGATGAATGGCTGAAATGTCAGAACTGTCACAAAAACGAGCGTAGCCTATATACTTGTTGCAGTGTTTTTTTTTTCTTTTGTTAATCCGTTAATTATATTATAGCCTATTATTTATTTTGTGTGATCCTATTTATTTTATTCCTTTTAAAGACATAATTTCTGTTTTTCTTCTTTCACAGAAGCGCTGCAGGTGCATGATGCGACGATTGAATCCTCGTGGTCTTGTTTACGCTGCTATTCGCGCATATAAAGCTAAAGCCCTGTATAAAACCCCCAAAAAAAGACATTCTAATCTTACTGGTTAACGATAGACTAATGAGCTTCGTTTGACGGTCAGGAAAATAAAAATGAACAAAATGCTGTCATTCTACAATTCTCCACCATGTTTACTATGCTGCGCGCAAGTTCAGGTAACTCAAAAACTTGCGTACACGAGCTGAGACAAGATGTGAGATTTGATCGTAGCCACTGCTCACGTCCATATTGATCAATTCCAAGTTTTGCGTTGAAATGACCGTACGCCCAATTTTCTGTCGTACGTTCATTTCGTAAATGAGGCCCACTGTGGGTCGTCTGGATGTTTTAATGATTCCATAGAAGCAGCTGCAAACATTTGTAGCTAATGCTTATTAGCAGCTTGTTGGTAGATCAAAAAAACGCAGGCACTGGCGCGCCAGTACGTCTAAAGTCATCCTGCGATTTGTCATACAACAGCTCCTAATGAGCCAGTCTTACTGTCAGACTGTCTGGCCAGTGCATATTTCTCCAGACTTAAACAGACTGCCCATGTTCACTGACCATCTAAAGTGTTTTGCACACCAAAACCACAAGGTGCTATCCAAAAATCTGCCGTTTCAATCTGATTCTATTGAATTTTCCGCAGATTTTACTATTTTAGGTAAACCTGTCCTTAAACAACATGTAAAAACTAAAATGAGATGTATTTACTTGTCATTCAGACAGACCCTTTGCGTTTAAGTAGGCGGTTCTTGATCAAAATAAGATGCAATGGGGACTTGATGCAATTTGATAAAGGTCTGGCTATGCAAGATGAAACTGACATTGATGTTTCATTAGCTAAAGTGGCAGTGGCTTTTTAAACCTTCTAAAAGCTTTTAAATTTGGTCATTTTAAACCCCATAGTTAATTTTATTCAAAAAGTGCACCGATACATCAATTAAAAAATAGACTTCTAAGCATTATTTATAATGATCAAATAAAAAATAAATGTTTATGATGTACTGTATTAGGAGACAGATGGTGTAATGGAAGACCCAAGCACAAAACATTGATCACTAAGTGTGGGCATTGAGGACTGAAGCTATAGACAGAGAGACCCTTGGCACTAATTTGTTTACAACTGGCGCCTCTGTGTTTACAGTAGCCACATTTGAGTAATAAAGGAGGGATTGCCAGAAAGACCTGATGGAATAATCACACCTGTTCTGGCTGACATTGTTGCATTGTGTGTGTGTGTGTCTGTGTGTGTGTCTGTGTGTCTGTGTGTGTGTGTGTGTGTGCGTGTGTGTGTGTGTGTTTAGACTGACAGCATCTGCCACTGTGACTGTGGGACGCTAGTGGAGAGCAAGCAATGTTGATGAGAAGATAAACTGCATAGAAATGAACTAAAAGCCACATGGATGAAACTCAGAAAACTCATCAAGAACATGTCCAGATCATATTTCATCCCAAAATCAAAATAAAGAAAAAATAAATGCTATTTTACACATTAAAGGGATTGTTCACCCGAAAATGAAAATCCATTTATTCACCCTCGTTTCATTCCAAACAGTTTTGGTCACCACTGACTTTCATTATATGAAAAAATAAAAACCCACTGGGACATTTCTCAAAATACTTTTTTGAAGAAAGAAAGTCATACAAATTTAGAGCATATAACTGTGAGTAAATGATGACAGAAAAGCACCCCCATTTTCATTACTTTCCCCATTCCATTAAACGTATAAAAAAAAAAATTTCTGACACTCTTGTTTTTGTTTTCCTGTTTCTTTGCAAAGGTTCACACACAGTTGTGCGGAACATAGGTATTTGACATTTTAATATTTAATAAACTGTTCTATGTACTAACCTCTCTTTGTAAATAGACTATGCTGATGCCATTAATATGATCTTTCATTTCTCTGTTCTGTGATATTTCCAGGCCTTAGTCACAAAGAAAAAACAGTGATTAGTTCTTCCTCAAAAGCTTATTGATAAATAAATTTGATAATTTTGTTTTGTCTGTTTAGTTGAAGACAACTTATAGCACACCATTTTCGACATTTTATGCTCTTGCATTGCTGGATTTTCTGTTTCTTTTTTTCTCTCTCTCCAAACATTGCAAGACGGATATAGTGCTTGGGAAATCTCAATTGCAACAATTGTTATTATCTTCAGTTCCTTTTGGATCCGTGGTGCGAAAGTTACACTGGACCTTTAAATGCGTTTTTTGTGCTGAATCAATTTCATCCAGTGATATGCATATATTTAATGCTCTTCCAACTGAGATCGTTTGTCCCCAGTGAAGATGTTTAACATTCATCTCTGCACTTTGCAGAAGGTTGAATCAACATGCCCACTTTATTGTTGAGCTGTAATACTGTCTCGTCCCTATGGCGTCAGTCCTATGTGAGGGAACTAGTGAACTGTAATCACCACCATCTCGTGGTTTTTAAATATTATTGAACAGCACACAAGCGATTTAGAGATTTCCCTGGAATGTATGAAAGCACCGCTTTGGTTTATTTTCAGGGTTTGTGCATGTATATCTATGCAGTTCTCAACTTGTGTGTTTCTTTTAAGATCTGAATGATAAACGTTGTCAGTTGTGTCATCCACACCCAGTCTTACATGGAAATGCCAAGTGTATAAGATAGTTTAAAGTAAAAGAAAGATATGAGAGAGAATGGGGAGATGGGACAGGGAGAGAGATATACTAAAGATACACACAAAAGAAGTGAGAGGTATGGGAGTATATTTGTAAAATACACAGTACAAAGCGACACTGACTCAACCAATAGCTTGCATTAGGGGCCAATGTGTTTGAAACTAACTTTTTATTATTTAGACTGGTGATCTTACCGATCTGCTCTGCTGCATGCAGCTGTGTGTGGGCCTGTGCCTGCGTCTGTGTCTGCGCTTGCTGCTCCTGCAGACTCTGGCTGTCCACTGAGATGCCGCTGTCACTGTGCAGCTTCTCTCCCTCTGGAGATGGTGTCTGATTGGCTGTGGCTGCGCGATTATTAGCTGCCTGTTTATTCTGCTTGCAGCTGTTCCACCTGGAAGGCACAGATGCACATGTACAGTACAAATTAATGTAATGAGTGAGAGTAAAGCATTAGCTGCTTTCAATTTCAACAACAAACATGTTCACATAGTAGTGTTTTTTATTTAATATGCATAAATATGTTCGAAATGTAGTCGTTATGACTATTTTTCTCAATTTAATTAGATTTATTGTGATAATTTAAGTTAAATTAAATGTATAGTTAGTAATTAAGTTAAATAACATGACATACAGTAATGTAATAATTTAAAGTGCATAGGTTAGTGGGTAATTGCAATTAGCTTAAAGGGTTACTCCACCCCAAAATGAATATTTTGTCATTAATCACTTACCCCCATGTGTGTGGTGCGGCTGACACAGACAAGTGTGGTGCGGCTGACACAGACAAGTAGAACAGTGTACGCAGTTTACGTTCAGTGGATACTCTCCAAAATGGTGCTACAGTTGACGCGGAGGAGACAAATTGTTGAATAAAGTCGTTATTTTTGTTTTCTTTGCGTACAAAAAGTATTCTCGTCGCTTCATAAAATTCAGATTGAACCACTGATGGCAGATGGACTATTTTGACGATGTCTTTCATACTTTTCTGGGCCTTGACTGTGCTATTTACTTGGCCGTCAATGGGACAGTCACAAGCCTCCCGGTTTTCATCCAAAATATCTTAAATTGTGTTCCGAAGACGAACGAAGCTTTTACGGGTTTGGAACGACATGTGGGTAAGTGATTAATGACAACATTTTCAATTTGGGGTGGAGTAACCCTTTAAACAGTCATCTAAAAATGACTTAGTTTAAAGGGATAGTTCACCCAAAAATGAAAATTAGCCCATGATTTACTCACCCTCAAGCCAGTGTATCTGACTCTCTCCTTTAGACGAATCCAATCGGAGTTATATTTAAAAATGTCCTGGCCCTTCCAAACTTTATAATGGCAGTGGGCAGGTGTTTCTGTTCAACAGTCCAAAAGAAGTCCAATAAAGCGCATCCATCCATAATAAAAAGTGCCTCACACGGCTCCGGGGGGTAAATAAAGGCCTCCTGTAGCGAATCAATGCGTTTTTCTAATAAACATATCCATATTTAAAAAGTTATAACCACTTTTCTGTAGCTTGCTCTAACTGCCGTATGCGGAAGCCATTGCAGGCGGATGACGTAGGGCATATGTGTAGAGCATGCGCCGGTGAGAAGTAAGAAACGCGGAAGCAAAGAGGAGAGAACAAAACAAAACACCGGTCACGAATTAGAAGTACAAACGAGGATTTGTAAAGAAAAATGTTAGAGGATTTCGATATAAGCCAAGAGGAGACTGGTTTTCCTTTGCTAAAGTAAGGAAACTTTGCTTTCTTTGCTCCTATTAAAAAACGTTGGTTTTCACGAGATTAGCATATTCTCACCGGTGCATGCGCTACGCATACGTCCTATGTCATCCGCCCAGAACAGCTTCCGCGTACGACAGCGCAAGCTACAGAAAAGTGGTTATAACATTTTAAATATGGATATGTTTCTTACAAGAACGCATCGATTCGCTACAGGAGGCCTTTATTCTCCCCCCTGAGCCGTGTGAGGCACTTTTTATTATGGATGAATGCACTTTATTGGACTTCTTTTGGACTGTTGAACACAAACCTCTCAGTTACGTATGTAACCCTCGTTCCCTGAAGGAGGGAACGGAGACATCATGTTGATGACCAACGAATTGGAAATCTCGTCAGAGAGACTAATCCACTTTGAGAGTAAACTAAACGAGCCAATGCACATTGGCATGCGATGATTGCATCCAGTTGCCGCTGATCGCAGTACGAGTATAAATAGGCAGCAGGTGCAACGCATACTCAGGTTTTCGCTTCAGAGCCGAGCCGGTGACCCGGCCGCTCAGCGGTGGTACAGGAACTGTGGCAACAGGACGTGACATCTCCGTTCCCTCCTTCAGGTAACGTGGGTTACATACGTAACAGAGACGTTCCCTTTCAGTCGTCACTTTCGATGTCACGTCGATGACCGACGAACTAGGAATCCCTACCAAAGAGCCACGGATGCTGCCCCTTCCAGTGTCCTGTGCAAGCCTCCTGTGCCCCTTTGGGTATAGGCCAGGGCTCGCAACTGAAAGGCCAGTCACTGTTGTCTTAGCACTGCCCACTCAGTGAGATTGGATAACACTGGGAAAATGTACCAGTTCTATTTGGAACAGGAACGTTGCGGAAGCCCCATCCTTCCTGAAGGAGGTTTCAGGTGGCACTTACGCATATGGATTATCTCCTTAGGGCCTTTGTACATATGGAAGATTTAGAGGTGGTTATAACCCCCTTGCAGGGATGGCGGAGAAGTCTGCCAGGGAAACACCGGCTTAAGCTATACCGTGGAAGAAAACGCATATGGGATCCACTTAAGTCACTACTCTACCGGTTCTCATGGATTCATCAAATGAGGGCCAGGCGCCAGACGCTCCGCCACTTTTGGCTGCAGAGGGTGATGAAGGAGTTCTACAGGGTCTACAGTACAGACACTCTGCAGCAAGTATCACGATTTGTGAAATAGTAAGCCGACACTAAGCCGGGGGCCTCTCAGTGCTTCTACCCATTTGAGGTGAGAACACAGGAGGATACCAGCTCAAAACGAAGGCTATAGAATCTAGCGAACGTGTTGGGGGTCACCAGCAAATATCTGTCACTCTACAAATATCTGTCAGCGAAGCGCCACGAGCCAGCGCCCAGGAGAATGCAACACTCCTAGTAGAGTGAGCTCACAACCTGAGCGGGCAGGGCACGCCTTGTGCCTGATAAGCAGGGCGATGACATCCACTATCCAGTGGGCCATCCTCTGCTTGGAGACGGCATTCCCCTTCTGCCGGCCTCCGTAAGAGACAAAGAGCTGCTCTGTAGCTTTGTGTCTGGCCTACGTACAATCTTAAAGTGCAGACGAGACAGAGCAAAGCTAGAGCTGGGTCTGCCTCCTCCGGGGGGCAGCACTTGCAGGCTCACTACCTGATCCCTGAAGGGCGTGGTAAGAACCTTGTGCACATAGCCAGGCCAGCGTCTCAGAGTTACCTGAGAGTCAGCCAGCCCAAACTCTAGGCACCATTCGTCAACTAAAAAGGCGTGCAGGTCCCCTACCCTCTTGATGGAGGCCAATGCAACCAGGGGCAGAGTTTCCATTGAGAGAAACTTTAGCTCGACTGACTGCAAAGGCTCAAATGGGCCCTGCTGGAGTGCTCTGAGCACCAGAGTCAGGTCCCAAGTGGGTATAGAGGGAGAACGAGGAGGGTTGAACCTTCTCGCCCCCTAAGGAACCTGATGACCAGGTCGTGTTTCCCTACCGTCTTCCCCTCCACGGGGTCGTGATGGGTGGAAATAGCAGCAACATAGACTTTAAGGATGGAGGAAGACAGCCTTCACTCCAACCCTTGCTGCAGAAAGGAAAGCACGACTCTGATCGGGCATCTCCGGGGGTCCTCTCGGTGAGAAGAACACCACTCGACGAACAGGTTCCACTTCAAGGCGTAAACGTGTCTCGTAGACGGTGCTCGCGCCGAAGTAATGGTGTCCACTACCTCTTGGGGTAGGTAACCTAGAACCTCTGCGTCCCATCCAGGGACCAGACATGGAGTTTCCAGAGGTCCGGACGTGGGTGCCACAGGGTGCCCCGTCTCTGAGAATGTAGATTCTTCCTCAGAGGAATCCACCAGAGAGAGGCTGTCACGAGGAGCATCAGTTCCGGGAACCAGGTCTGGTTGGGCCAGTAGGATGCAACGAGCAAGACCTGCTCCCCGTCCTCCCTGACTTTGCACAGTGTCTGTGCAAGAAGGTTCACTGGGGGAAATGCATATTTGTGCAGGCGCCGCGGCCAGCTGTGTGCCAGTGCGTCCGTGCCGAGTGTTCCCTCAGTCAGGTCTGTTATAATAGCTGGCAGTGAGAGGTTTCTATAGAGGCAAACAGCTCTACCTGAGTGACTCCGAAACGTCTCCAAATCAGCTGGACCGTGTCGTGAAGACACGAGGGGACAGGGACAGCCTGAAGGGCAGGACCTTGTATTGATATGCTACGAACGCAAACCACCGAAAGGGTCTGTTTCGCGGAAGGATCGAGACATGAAAGTACACGTCCTTCAGGTTGATCGCTGCAAACCAATCTCGGGGACGGATGCACCCGAAGATGCATTTCTGTGTCAACATCTTGAATGGTAGCCTGTGAAGGGCCCGGTTCAAGACACGCAGGTCCAAGATTGGTTGTAACCCGTCGTCTTTCTTGGGTACAATGAAGTAGAGGCTGTTAAACCCCGTCTTCATATTGACTGGAGGGACCGGCTCTATCATGTCGTTCGCCAGTAGGACTGCGATCTCCACACACAAGACATGAGCATCGGCTGCCTTTACTGATGTGAAGAGGATACCTCTGAATTTGGGGGGACGCCAGGCAAACTGAATTGCATAGCCGAGTCTGATGGTCCGAAGGAGCTCCCAGATACCTTGCAAGTGAGACCAGCGGAACCACCGACATACTGGCAGAGAGGTGGAACACAGGGACCCGGCTCAGGCGGCTCATGGGCGGGCCGAAGCGGGGTCTGAGTGTGCGGTGCAACACTTACCTGGTTCCATGGTTGGGCAGAGGGTGCGTGAGTAGGGAAGCCTGGCAGGAGCATAACGATGATACCGCTCGGCTCTGAAGCGAAAAGCTGAGTATGCGATGCACCTGCTGCCTATTTATACTCGCGCTGCAATCAGCGGCAACTGGATGCAATCACCGCATGCCAATGTTCATTGTCTCGTTTAATTTACACTCGAAGTAGATTGGTCTCTCTGGCGAGATTCCCAATTCGTCTGCCATCGACATTACGTCAGAAGTGACCGACTGAAAGGGAACTTTTTAATATAACTCCGATTGGATTCGTCTGAAAGAAGAAAGTCATATACACCTAGGATGCCTTGAGGGTGAGTAAATCATGGGCTAATTTTCATTTTTGGTGAACTATCCCTTTAACCTTTTAAAATCCTGAAAATCCTTTTCCTGATTTGGTGTTTCCGGTCAAAAAAGGTTTTGTATTTCTTTTAGGAACACTGATCTGAGCTTATACACCCCAATTTTTTATGAAAAAAAATCATAATTTGTGGATGATTGAGTCAATATTCACTCAAAAAATTTTGAATCCAAGATTTAGTGATAATATGGCAAACTGAGAGATTTTTAAAGCAATTTTTTGTAGGCTGGTTATTTTAGACTGGGAACACCAGAAGTGTAACAAGGTTGGGGGAAATCCCCCAAAAAGTATGAAAATTATCCAATTTCGGTTGTCATACCCTGTGTGAGCAAATTCGCTAAATTTCAGAACAATGTGATAACATTAACTAGCATTTTCAGGAAAAAGAATATCCTCTCCAGGTCAAGGGTTAATCTGATAATTCCAAATTAAGACAAGGCCTGAATTATTCACCACCTATTACTGTCCTCAATCATTACAATCTGTTATTATGTCTTTAAGATTTTTTCTCTCTTTAGCTCACCTCTTAAAGATGATGTAAGCCAGGAGGCCGACTACGACTGCTGCAAGGATGGGGCAGTAGATGGGAATCAGGTTCTCATTTAGCCCTCTGCCAATGAAGTGAGGGGAGCTAGGTTTGGGTGTGGTGGCATCCCCTCCGGGGTTGGGGCTCCACAAACCATTTGGATCAGTGACAGACGTACTGGACTCACTAGCGAAAGTGGGATAGGTAGGACTCAACGGATCTAGAATAGAGAGAAAGACAGTCACACATATATTAGCTGCAAATGACTGGACATAGACGCAAACTTACGGTAAAAACTTCTGCAGTCTGCTATTGTATCTAAATAGAATTCACACTATTTATATAATTTAAAATGCAAATTGGATATTGAACTGAACCTAATGAGACCGTTAGTAGAAGCTGTGAAATTGACCAATGGCTGTCTGGATGGTGTTATATGAAATATGGCCTTTTTCACCCACTAAAGGCACTATTTGTCTTTTTATCTTTCTTCCTCTCGCTATTGATTTGATGCATAATTTATACAAAGACAAACCCCCATAAACTCCTTCCAGCTCCCAATAGAGCACAATAGTGGCCGTCCACTTTTTCAAAGGCCTTTGTGCCAGGAGTATTTTTCCCATTTATTTTCTCCATAGTCAATTAAAAAAATACAATTAAAAAAAACAACTGAACTGGCTCCAAGTGTCACACCCAAGGACTGTTCTGTGTGTTTTGTTTTCCCTCGTGTGTGCCCATATTTGGTTATGTTCCTGTTCCTGTCCTCATTATAGTTCGTTATGTTCATTTGGTTTTTGACACCGACATATATCACATTACAAACTTTTGGTTTAAATCCATATTAAAAAGTACTTAGAACTGTTAATAATAAATTACTCATCCAGCGAAGCTTAGCAAATGATGGTGCAGTATAAAGCTATTGACTTTCAGTCATAAATTCAGTAAGTTTTAAGTTTAATAGAAAGCAAAATAAATATCTCTATGGTGAAAATAAATGGCTTTTACTTATAGAATAATAATTAATAATAATTCCTTACATTTATACAGCGCTTTTCTGGGTACTCAAAGCGCTTTACATAGAAGGGGGGAATCTCCTCTACCACCACCAGTGTGCAGCATCCACCTAGAACCCAACACGGCAGCCATATTGCGCCAGAACGCCCATCACACACTAGCTTATTGGTGGAGAGGAGACAGAGTGATGAAGCCAATCAGCAGATATG